TTGTCACAGGGTACTAATGCTTTTTAATAATCCTGAATAATTCTATGTTGATCCTGCTGATGAACCAGCTGTTTCATCTCCTCGTTACGAGCACGGGGACGGAAAGAAGCTGGAAGCTTGTTTGGTTTGTTGATTAGCTCGGCTTGAAAGTCTTTGGAAAAGTGTGCCGTGACTTAAAGGTCCCTCTTAATTGCTACGAACCTGACTCCTGAATCACCAGCTTAGTTAATCCTTTCGCAACGTGTGACGTACACGTATGCACGTCATGGAAAATTGCTCTTCGCTCGCGGACGCCGTATATGCACCGCGTATAACAGAAGTACGTCAAATGATATTTTTTCAGATTGCCGCGTTAATTAAATTACTTTTCGTTGAAATTTTCATTCGTTATGATTAATATTAAAATTGAAACTTGTGTAAAAAAATTTGTCTCCACCTGAACCACACTTTTCGTTAAAATTTCTATTAATTTTACAATTGTCTTCGAACGAGTGTCTAAGGAAATTCGAATAAAGAATAAACCTTCGCCAGAAAAATATTTCTCTCGAAAGAGGTCCTTTCTCGCAATTCAGCGAAAGGGTTAAAAGGGTAGTTTTCCAAAACTCAAGCATCTTCCGACAAAAATGTGGCGTTGCGACAGCAAAGTAGGGCTTGAAATAGCTTACAATTAATTCAGAATTCCTGCGTTCGTTCGCCACAGCTGTGCACTTCGGCACGATGCAAATACGATCGCGAAAATCGATCGGCGGAGGGTCAGAGACCAGAAGGGTCGAGCGAAGTCGCGCGGATCTCCGTCTGATGGACGGAGACCGAGTCGAATTCGTAACGAGGCTTTTGTACGTGATTCGAACCGGCCATGCGGGCGCGTACAAGCCGAAATCTGGCCCGTGGGAACACTCGTAATGATTCGCGCGACGATTATTCATCGACAAGCAGGAAAGAATGGATTTGCCGAATATTCCACCCCGTGAGAATCACTAGGGACCATTCGCTCTTTCATCTTAATCCATCTGCCTCCTTCGAGCCGCTCTTAATCGGCCAATTAAGTCTCGTTGACTGATTCATCAATATATCAAAGCGGTCTCGCTTCTAGCGGAATAGTAACTAACTAGCATGCCGCTCTAGCTCGAGAGTAGCGTCGTACAGGGTGTTTCAAAAGTGTGTAAACTGGCAGATCTCGTTGAAATCAACGAAACTGTCTTTGTGAACGTTTGGTGGAAGATTGGCAATTTCAGAGATGATTCGGGATTTGAGTTCGTTCAAATCAACGTTTTGAACGGCTTAACACTTTATCCACCGCTAGGTATTTATTAGCTTTTCGGTACTCGAGGGTTGTTGACCTCTAAAATCGACGGTTTACAGATCAGAGTGATCGGTCCCTCGTTTTTCTTTGCTGAATTTTTGGTAAAATTCCTATTTCACGTTCGCTTGTTTGTAAATGGAGAGTGACGTCTCTGTTACGAGCGATATCACACCATTTCCGCGCAATAGCCAAAACCAGCCAGAGTCGGTCGGTCAGTGAGCGGCCACTTCGACCAGATAAAGTGTTAAAATGCACCTTTTCTAAGCAATTGTTCGTCTACTTTTGCAATTACTCTTTGACGAAAGCGTGAAGCAGGTGCTCGAGACAGATTAGCTTCCTTTACGGTAGGTTGTACAGATCGTACCAGTGGTTTTGAAACACCCTGTACACGGTTCTCGATCGGTTCACTTGAGGATCCTTTTCAGAATTCATTTTCAGCTGGCTGTCCCTGATATTGTGCTTCAATTGACGTTGATTCGTGCCTCGTTCTTCGTTCTACTCACCCCTACTGGAGGAACTGCGGTGGCGTCTGCGTCTAGACCTGCTGCAGGACCTCCCCTTTCGATCCTCCGCGTGGACACCGTCCACAGTGTCGACTGGTGCCGGTGGTGCCATTGTATCCGGTTCCACCATGACTGTCGACGATTCTGCCTGCCTTCTCACGTTGTCTCTGCTCGAGGAGCCGCGATCTTTGCCCAAGAACGTGCCTATCGAGTGCCTTCTTCTGCCTGCTGCTGCTGAGCCCGGGGCTGGCAGGGTGGAGGAGAGGTTGTAGTACCTAGAAGTGGAGAATTGTGTCAGTATCGAGGTGGTAGTAATTTCAATGTTGAGTTTCTTTCGGTAGCTTAAGAGTAATTTATTTTTCAATAATTTGGGAATCATTTATTTCTTATCTAGGGAATTGTTATACAGGATTTCTTATCTGGAAATTTTTCATCCAGAAAATCCTATTCTTAGCTATTTTCGCTAAACTAAATGTAAATATTAATGTCAAATTCATATTTTTCTGAGTTCATTTGAAATGGGCTAAGAGTTATTTAATAGTAATTTTCTGTTATCAGTGCTAATTTATTTTGTGAAGAGTTTTGGAGATAAGATTGAGGGATTGTAGGGAGCTTCGCCACTGACCTAGCATCATCGACTCCAACGAACACTTCACTGGAGTCTCTATCGTCATCGTCGTCGTCGTCGTCGTCGTGTTCACGACCATCTCTAGCCAATCCACAGTAAACCATATCATTGGACAGAAGTTCACTGGCGGATTTCAGCACGGTTCTCCCTCGAACTGGCCTTCTTCTGTCGTTCTCAGAGTGCGAGTGTGACCTGTTGAGAATGAGTAACCTTGTGTAAAATCGAAAACCAATCATTGTACGCTCAAATTAGATTTTTTATCTCATCACCTTCTAAAATAAGAAATAGATCTCTCATACTAGAAAAAAACTTTTAGAAAGATTGTAAATTCCAGAAAATCATAGTAGAGCACTATCAGAGGGTCTAGGGATTACTATCTTTCATCTCATTACCCTGAAAAATAGAAAAACGTAACTCCCAAACTAGAAACTAACGTAAGGAACCAATAACAAAAATGGTTACAAAAGGAACCTTATAAAAATCCCCAAATTCCACAGAATTAAACAAATCAAATCCTGTATACCGGAAACTACATAATTTTCATTCCATCGTACTCCAAAATAAAAGCTAAACTCCCAAATTACAAAAAACTTTTTACTAAAGAAAAAATCCATGCAATCAGCACAGCTACCAACCTGTGAGGCAGATACGGCGAGGGTGGAGCAACGTCAGACGGTCTCGGATCTCCCTTGAGGAACTGTTGCGTCCTCTCGTTATCAGCATTCGCGCTGACAGATCTGAACAGGTTCCTGAAGCTCCTCCTTTGATTCGCCGAGCTTCCATGAGCGCCGTTTCCACAAAGAGGTGTCCCATTTCTAGAGAGCATCGGAACACGTTCCTCCGTGGGCGTCGAGGGCGTCGAGGCGCCCGAGGCGCTGCTCCTGTTGCTCTCCTGTTGCATCAGGGTGCTGTTCGTGGAAGCTGAGACGACGCTGGCCGACGAGCTGGTGCCCATCTTGCATGGACGTCGACGGAACAGGGCCGTCAAGCCCGTCGGGCCCTTCGAGGGCGGTGAGAACGCGACGCTCGTTGTCGACGCAGGCGTCGCCGACGTGGACGACGACGTTGCCCCGCTCGACAGCGAGAAATACGACGGATTGTCTGTGAACATGCGGACCCAAGCTCATAGAGTGAACCGGAAGCTCGTTCGAGGACTCTTTCTCGTTATTCCCCGGTCGTTCTAACTCCTTCTCATCGTCGTTTCATCGATCCAAGGTTTTATACACGTTCGACGAAATCGAGGAAAATTTCTTGGGAATCTGTCGACGATTTTTGAGGTGTCTTGGATATATGAAAGGTTGGAGGATTTTAGAAATGATTTGATACGGGAGATGACATCTTCTTTCTCTTCTATCAGTAAGATATATCTTCGATATCTTCTATCTTCGATTTTTAAATTACAAACAGTGCTTTGGTATAAATAATCGAGGTGTATATTAAATTCCTCGATTCTGAAGGATGCTTCGAATATTCCTCTATATATCAGACTACTGCGAACACATCGTTCAAAAAATGAACCACAGTGGTACTTCCAGAATGGAGGAGTCTCGACGTCACTTAGATCACCAAACTTGATTCCAACGATAGATCGAAGATCACTTGAGAAACACGAATAATTCTTTCATATCCGGCGCATGGTAATCGAGGAGCAGTGTTTTGTTTCTCGTGGTTGAAAACAGAAAAGGGGGGAAAAGTGATTCGCGACCAGACGAACACGAGGTCCACCTGAGACTGCTCCGTCACAGAGAGATACACCATGCCTATAGGACGCCATGAACGATTCGAATGGTACTTGAAAGTGGGGGGATGGACCGGACGTGGTATTGTCCCCCACCCCATAAACCAGAAGCGAAGAACGAGGCAGCCGTACGCGGCACCGGAAGTCCGCCAGCGTCGTTCACGATCCGCGCGTTATTACTCTTCGAAGATGAATCGAGCTCGTGCTGCGACGAGAGAGAGAAAGAGAGAGAGAGAGGAAAGTGTGGCGAGAGAAAAGATGGAAAAGAAGAGCAACCGAAGGGGAGATGTTCAACAGACGTGTCTCCTGAGAGGATCGAGTTGTTTCTGGATCGTGGAAATATTTTTGGGACGTCCTTTCGACCCTGTTTTACCATCGGTTGTTTGTGAGAGGAATTTTCAGGGTGAAAGGATCGTTTTTGTAATTTAAAATCGTGGTGCGGTGGAATTTAAGGATTTACAGTTGTACAGGGTGTTTCAAAATGATGCTTACGCTTGTTTTACTTCAATTTTTGGATGGAATTGTATATTTCTTTAAATAGGGTTAAGAAAGAAGCTGAACTCGTGAATTTTTCCTTGGAAATTATTAATTATTTTAATATTCTCAAGTTATACAGGCTGTTTCAAAATATACATTAATTTTTGAAGAGAATTATATTTCTTTAAGTGAAAGTTACGAAACAAATTAAATTCATAACTAGTTTCCTTAGAAAATGATTAACCAGTTTAATATTCTCAAGGTATACAGGCTGTTTCATAAAGATGCTTTAATTTTTGAAGAGAATTGTATATTCTTTGAAATAAAAGTTACGAAGCAAATTAATTCACGAGGTTTTCCTTGGAAAATCATTAACTACTTTAGTACTCTCAAGTTGTACAGGCTGTTTCAAAATATACATTAATTTTTGAAGAGAATTATATTTCTTTAAATGAAAGTTACGAAACGAATTAAATTCATAACTATTTTCCTTAGAAAATGATTAACCAGTTTAATATTCTCAAGGTATACAGGCTGTTTCATAAAGATGCTTTAATTTTTGAAGAGAATTGTATATTCTTTGAAATAAAAGTTACGAAGCAAATTAATTCACGAGGTTTTCCTTGGAAAATCATTAACTACTTTAGTACTCTCAAGTTGTACAGGCTGTTTCATAAAGATACTTTAATTTTTGAAGAGAATTGTATATTCTTTGAAATAAAAGTTACGAAGCAAATTAATTCACGAGGTTTTCCTTGGAAAATCATTAACTACTTTAGTACTCTCAAGTTGTACAGGCTGTTTCAAAATATACATTAATTTTTGAAGAGAATTGTATATTCTTTGAAATAAAAGTTACGAAGCAAATTAATTCACGAGGTTTTCCTTGGAAAATCATTAACTACTTTAGTACTCTCAAGTTGTACAGGCTGTTTCAAAATATACATTAATTTTTGAAGAGAATTATATTTCTTTAAATGAAAGTTACGAAACGAATTAAATTCATAACTATTTTCCTTAGAAAATGATTAACCAGTTTAATATTCTCAAGGTATACAGGCTGTTTCATAAGGATACTTTAATTTTTGAAGAGGACTATATTTTCTTTAGATAAAAGTTAAGAAATCAGTTAAATTCACCAGTTTTTCCATGGAAAATGATTAACCATTTTAATACTCTCAAGTTATACAGGCTGTTTCATAAGAATACATAAACTTTTGAAGAGAACTATATTTTTTTTAAATAAGAGTCACGAAACGAATTAAATTCATGATTTCTCCCTCTGAAAATGATAAACTGAAGTTGCTTACACAGATAAAAAGATACTCTGACCAAATTGGTGAGTAAATACTTCTGAAGAACAGAATATTTGTTTCTTTTACAAAATAAAACGAGATACCAAGAACGCGCTGAAAATGATTGCAAACAAGCATACACTCTTTAAAGATAAAATACATTTGCTAATACAATCTATCCTGTGTCTTTGAGTCATCCTGTACCACAAATTACATTACATTTCTCTAATTTCCTTCCTACTTCTGAAACTCAACATTTTATCACTTAAAACCTCGAAATATCATCGTGGAATCATTTCAAACAATTAAACATCACTCTCCAACAATTCTTCCTCGAACTACTAATCGAAAAAATTCACGTTCCCCGTTTTATCCGAACGCTGAAGAAGTTTCGCGTTGAAGTCGAGGGCGTTAGTTGCTCGAGTTGGTTCGTTACGCAGGTGGAAAAGTTTACCAGGTGGTCGAGCGAATCTTTCCTGCGGAAATGTTTCCTAAATAACGGGATAATGGTATTGTGTATTCTTAGAGAGTTTCACCGTGCACCAATTAACCCAGTTAAAAGTTTCAAAAGCGACGAGAATCCCTTCGAACGAGAAGCTTCAACGCAATTAGCGAACTTCTGCCTCTGTTCGCCCTCCCTTTTCCATCCTTTTCGAAAGCCGCCAGATTCGGCTCCGTTTTTGCCCCGCGTTCCTTCTTTTACGCGAAGAAACATGCGTGCGTGTGACAACGAGACACGGCGAATTAAGGCGCGGATGGATCAAAAGATCGGTGAAATTTGCATGATCAATAGGGAATACGTGAGCGGAGTGCGAGAATCGGAACGAAAACGGTCACCAAATACGATCGCCACCTAAGAATTCCAGTCTCGTTGCTCTGTGCTCGCTGATCGAAATCTGCTCGAACATTCCCGCTCCTTTCCGTGCACTTTTCGAACGTGTTCGAAAACTTAAGTCGCCTTCTTCTTTTAAATTTCTCCACCGCGTTGCCTGCGGAGGCAGCCGCCTTCATCCACCGCCTTTCTCCAGCCGGAAAACGAGGAAGATTCGAAAATATATAAAGACTGGGGAAAAGAATGTTGCGTGTTTTGAGGGAATTATTCTTCGAGTCATCCGCTTTTCGAAGAGAAAAATGAGGAGGACTGGAGAAAAGTGCTGCAAAAATGTGGAGACCGAGAGGAAAAACTAACTTCGTGGTTCCAAAACATTGCTCGTCACGTTCTCTGCTTTTTAAAGAGAAAAATAAAGGTGTTACGAAAGTATGAAGACTGAGGAAAAGATACTTCAAGGTTCCCAGATATTATTCTACATTTCTCGAATAAGAAAGTGAAGCTCGACGAAAGAAGTCACTCAGTTTCAAGTGAAACGTTCCAACAAAAAACAAAGGATAAAGAAGCTCGATAAAAGAGTCGCTCTAAGGACGCAGGAAATCGTAAAGAAAACTGTTCCAAGTGGAAGTCTCCAAGAAAAATAGAAGTAGGAACAAAGGACGAGGAGTATCGGTGAAAAACGGCTGGACCGGGGCTATAAATAAGCGAGAAATTAGAAATTCCCAGCGATCGTCAGAAATAATGTCCTCGACTTCCAGGTAAGTCGATTTCGAGACGTTTAGCCTGCGCGTCGCTGGCTGCGTCAAGGAACGAGAAAGGGGAGAAGAAAGGAAAGAAGAAGGCGCATCGCGAGGGCGGAATACGCGGTAGCCGGGCCCGCGATACGTGGCCCAGGCGCGATTATGCGTGAAACGCGTGACTCGGGTGCGAAAGTGTCCTCGAGATACGTGACCGCGGATTGGTCCAACAACGACCGATGCTTACCGACTGCCATGCTGACCCCTTGCACGAGAAACCGCCGCTGCTCTCCTCCTCTCCTGCAAAAAGAACGTGCATTTAGGTTAGTGTACTCGAGATAAATTGGGGAAACGGAGGAGGAAGTGTTCATTTACCAAAAGTCTGACGTGTTTTGAAAGAGTTTGAACTATACTATTTACAGCGATGCTTGTTGTGAATTTTTCTTTGTCGGAGAGGATAAACTTTTGGTGTGCAGAAAAATTAGGTAAATCGGGAAAGATGTAACTGGATAAGTTACTCGAAACTTTTTAGTCACTGTGTATATTAACACGTGTCGCTAGAATTTTGTTAAATGGAAAAGGATGTTTTTTTGTTGTATGAAAGTAACATACACTATCGGGCAAAAGTTTGGAATCACCGAGCATTGCAATTTGCACAAAAATTTCCAGAAAAATGTCAGCGTCTTTGAGAATTTTTTATCATTCGAATCAATTGATATGAGATAAATTGATAAGTGTAGAATCGAGATAAACTTCAAGTCTATAAAAAATTAGCAGCAGATTTAATATCGATGAAAAGTGGGAGGTGATTCCAAACTTTTGGCCGGTAGTGTATGTGTGAAATCGTATAAACGGTTTTAGATTTTTCACCTGGTGAACCGGGAAATGTGGAATCAAATAAATGCCTTCGTACTTTTCACCCACGGTGTACATTGACACGTGTCACCGATGGTACACGACGAAATTTATCAAACGAAAAAGGACCTTCTTTGTCTGAGTACTTAAGTAAAGCACACTTAAAGGAAAGATTGAAATATCGAAATTTTAAGTACGGAAAAATAATTAATTAAACATTTCCGAAAATAGATTGCAAAAAATTTCTGCCGAACGTTGCAAAGCTTTGATCGACAGTACACAAATACACCACTGGGAGAAACGCAGTAAAATAGAAAAAAAAAGAAACACGGTAAAACTGTAGCTACGATTGAAATGCATTAAAAATATCGGCGAATTCCAAAAGATCCAATTTCTCGCCGAATCTCTCCATTTCTGTTTCCGGGAAAGACAAAACGAAAAATAGGGAGAAGAAGCTGCGTTCGTCAGTCGATCAATCCATCAACGGATTTTCAGAGAAAACCACCCTGCGGGGCTGCGCGCGAACGGAACGAGGAGAGGAGAGAAGGACGGAAAATTGTTGGGAAACACGATAGGAAGACGGCAGACAGGGAGGAGATTTTTCATCCTGTACCGTGGGCGTTCCGGGCTGGTGTTCGATTCAGAAGTCGCGTGTATACCCGGTGCGTTTCATTCATCGCTGAAAATACACGCGAATATTATATTTAGCGCGGACGCGGGGAAGGCGAGTGTCGCGCGACAACCACGACAGGTTTATGGTGGTAGAGAAACGGGATGGAACAGGGGGAAATAGGGATCCGGCCACGGGCCGTCTCATTCACGTTTTATCCGCGCGATATTGGCGCACGATCTTGGAACTCGCTCTCTCTGTCCTCATCCTTCACTTTCCTCTCCCCTCTTTTCCCCTCGATTTTCTCTTTTTCACGAGGAGTTCAACCCTTTTGCGACAGAATCGTTTTCTTTTCTTTGTTTGCTATTTATCTATCTGGAGATTTTCCTGTTTAGAGGTCTAAGTGTCTAGAGATCCATCTATCCAGAGATCTATCTATCTATCTAGAGATCTATTTGTCTAGAGATCCATCTATCCAGAGATCTATCTATCTATCTAGAGATCTATTTGTCTAGAGATCTATATATCTAGAGATCTATCCATCTAAAGAATTATTTATTTAGAGATCTATTTATCTAAAGATCTATCTATCTAGAGATCTATCTATCTAAAGATCTATCTATCTAGAGATCTATTTGTCTAGAGATCTATATATTTAGAGATCTATGTATCTAGAGATCTATGTATATATCTAGAGATCTATCTATCTAAAGATCTATCTATCTAGAGATCTATTTGTCTAGAGATCTATATATCTAGAGATCTATGTATCTAGAGATCTATGTATATATCTAGAGATCTATCTATCTAAAGATCTATCTATCTAGAGATCTATATATCTAGAGATCTATCTATCTAGAGATCTATTTGTCTAGAGATCTATGTATCTAGAGATCTATCTATCTAGAGATCTATCCATCTAAAGATCTATCTATCTAGAGATCCATCCATCTAAAGATCTATTTATTTAGAGATCTATTTATCTAAAGATCTATTTGTCTAGAGATCTATATATCTAGAGATCTAGGTATCTAGAGATCTATTTGTCTAGAGATCTAGGTATCTAGAGATCTATTTGTCTAGAGATCTATCTATCTAGAAATCTATCTATCTAGAGATCTATTTATCTAAAGATCTATTTATTTAGAGATCTATCCAGAGAATGTTTCATTTATCCAGAGACCTATCCAGAGAATTTTTAACTTATCCAAAGATCATCGCGTCAGTAATGGATTACTATCATAACATAATAAAATTGATGGCAAGATCAATTTCTGCGAGTACTCATTGGTCACGAAGGGGTTAATTTATTCCGCAAACTTTTTGTATTTATCGAGAGTTGTCTAGATGGTCGCTAATGAATTGAAATTTGTGAATAAGAGAAAGCGGGAAGAGGAACCTGTCTCTCCGTTGATCCATGCAGAATTTGTATTATACCGAAAGCGCGTGCACTTGTGCAAGTACTACCAAATTTACACCGTTATAAATAGCGGACCGATCCGTATTTGAATTCCCGCTGCTACCTATGCAGAAACAAACAAGACGCCGGTCATTAGAAGTGAACAGTTGGCTCGCATCTTCGCGCTGCATCCTCTGCAACTTAATCAATCCTATTAGCTCGTCGAGGATTAAGGTCGGGGATAATCCTCGGAGATTAAAAGCTCCAGAATAATCGCGCTAACGCGAACCGTATTTTCCAAATCTCCATTCCTTCCGAAAATAGTCGGATTAATGAAATTTTACGCAAAAAATCAAATTTCACAAACCCTTATTCTTTTTTCTTTTCAAATTTTTAAATAACACCTACTTATTCTCACATACATTTCATGTTACAATAGAACAATCAGATTCAGCAGAGATAATACTCCGTTCACCAAATGGTTAAGAAAGAGCAAGCTTCTTCGCTTAGATTCCACAGGCTCCTTATAATTTTCATATTTCTTCAACCCTTTCGCATCTACAATTAGCACGAACAGCGAACTGATTTTCGCCCAACGCTTCGAATGCCCCGCGTTCCACTGAAAAGTCGCGAGGGATCAATTTCTCAACGAGTAGTCTCGTTCGAAGCGGCAAACACGCGACATCAGGAGTCGCGAGATATCTCCTTCGAAGCGTCAAACTCACGACTGCAAGTTGCCAGATACATCTCGTGCAGAGGATGGAATAATTACAAATCTTTCCCCCCCGAGCTATCTCGTTCGTAGATCGGAAAGGGTTAATGGCGGTTTCCCCTGTTTCAGGCCTGCTCAAGGTGTTACCAAGCATAACTATCCCGAGGCATGCAACATGCTTCGTGCGCGTGCTGCCATTAAATTCCCGCGCAATTGTACACGGTGCACGTGCTGACATAATATTCCCATTCTTCGTCACGAGCCGCGAATTCAATCGAATCCTCGCCTTCTTATTAATTTCCTTTCGTTTCTTTTCTCTCTGCTGCCTTCCGTTGGTAACGTATCAACCGGACGGTCTACGGTGTTTCCCAGAAGTATTTACTGGATAGTTTTTAATTGTTTCTAATTTACACGTTCAATCAGCGCGCGATGCTCGTTCTGCCAGAGATTGACGAGCTGTCGGAGAGCCAACGAATTTTAATTACACCGAGGTAAGAGAGCCTCGATACAGTAGTTGCGATCTCGATGCCAAACACGCGAACCCCGTTCGATTCTACCTGGGGAACAGAGGTAGATCGAAACCTGCCGGGTGGTAGCGTAAATTTCAATCCTGGCTTCCGTTTCATCCGACCGAGCCGATTTGCCAGATTATCCTCACTTCTCACCGATTCGTTGGAAAAGTTAGCTGAAAGTCACCGCTCAATTTTCTATCCGGGTATTTCGCGCGATCCTTTCGAAGTTAGAGAGACACCCGGTGTGTTTTTAGTAGGAAATTTGATCGATGGTGCGAAGTGGGACGTTGTCGATCAACTGTTTATTATTTTATAAAACTTTTTAACCTAACCTGATTGTAACATTGTTCGACGTAGGTGACTAGTTTTCCATTAATTTTCTTGGAAACTTTCGACGTGACGAAATTAATATCAATTTCGAATCAGCTCTCTGTCTTATACTGAAGAATTACACTTGGAGCGCAGATTATGGTCGAGATGTGACAGAAAAAGTATTGCATTTTCGGTCAGCTTGAACTTTCAATTGAAATCTGACGATCACAGGGCACAAAATACTTCGACGTTTTTTAAACGAAAGCTGTGTTAACCCTTTGCAATCGAGGGACGACTGAGAAGCGACATCGAATAATCGTCACTGAAATAATTAACGAAGACAGAGAAGAGATCTACGGGCCTCCGTAAACTTCTTCACCACAGTGAAGTAGAGAGTACATTGAGAAAGAAGATCCGATTTGCAACCTTTCCCACAGCAAAGTCACCCCCGAGTGCGAAGGGTTAAAACAACGAACACCCCAAAGTAACACACAGCAATTAAGAAACCCTCTAAAGGTTAGAAAAAAAGTTTCTAAAGACAATCGAACAATAAGCCACCTACAATGCATCTCTCACAATCAATCAACCCTCGAACTCCTGAAAATCCTCATCGAAGACTCCACCGTCCCGAAATCGATCACCCAGATGCACCCTCGAAGTCTCAGCATCACGATCGCTGTAATTTATCATCCGCCGGTGCAGCACAATTACCAAACTTCTCCCCAAACCTATAACTCTCTCTCGTTGCTCCAATGACACCGCTGTATCCTACAAGTTCGTGAAAATTCACGTCCCTCCAGGTGTCCTCGTACCCTAATCCCACTCGGATCGATGGAAATTCGCTTCCTGTGGAAGCTACGCGAGAATTCCGCGCGCGGAGGATCGTCTCTATGTTGGTTGTTGCGGCAACCAGAGTCGCCTGCACTATTTTCGTGCGGCTTCTGTGCAAGCCGCACAGAAAGAGGCAGGGGGAAAGAGGGAGAGACGCGGAGGAACGTGCCAGAAGAGCGAATAACGAGAGAAAGAGAGAGAGAGGACGCCCGCCTCGGGTTATCGTTCCCATGAAAGCTCGAGCACACTCTGATTTACTCCCCTGTCCAAATGGATCAGCTGATGGGACGAATCACCGCGGCTCACTGCATAAATTGTCCCGCGTTCGCTGCAATGTTGCGAGCACCACACACACACACACGTACGGCACACGGCTTTTTCGTCGTTTTCCAGTTTACTGGGAAACGCGAGGAGGAGCAGGCGAGCTTCGTGAAACACGCTTCGTGGAAATGGCCCTTTGATACCTTCATTTCTTTTCTTCGTCCTCCGTTTCCATGCTGTTGTTGATGTTTATATTGTACCTTTTACGTTGCTACACTTTTTTCGGGTTTTTGCTCTTTTGAAGGAGTGTCTTTTTTCGGTTGTTGAAGGATGTACGCGCCTCTGGTACGGTTTTGGGAACGTTTGGTGTGCTTGAGAAAGAAATTTGGAGGATTTTCTGTATTTTTGGAATTTTTAGGAAATCTGTATTTAAGTTACGTTGAATTTTACCGAAAGAGAAGTTGCTTTGGGTAAAGAAAATTGAAACGGAGTTTGATGATAGAACAGCGATGGCCTTGGAATTGTGTTTCTTTTTTCTTCGTTACGTTAATTTCATTCTAGTGCGTCGTATTGTTAGTTTTTCTTTAATGATATCATTGTTAGTCTGATCGTCGTCCTTGTCACGCGTGTCTCCATTGTCTTGTCATCGCGTTGCTTGGATTGCCGCCATTTTTCTCAATATGTGCTCGTAGTTACCGCCATTATCTTTGTATTGTTCTCGCTAACTGTGTAACTAGTCGTTTCAGTTAGCTCGCTCCACCTATATGTATATCCC